AAGAAATACCCTGGTGTAAATAAAAAGGAGGGGCAATCACCTCCGCACCACAAGACTGGTGGGAGGCCGGTGCGCATATGTCAACCTGGTGAGCATTCATAAGAAATAGCACTATTATTTAATAACCACTTATTTTGATTTTATCTACTTCTGCTGAAAACTCAGTAAGTAAAAAAGCGAAAGATAAACAAAACAGTGACCACTAGATGATATGAAAGCACACCATAGAATAATTCTGCAGAACCACTATTCTACTTATGAGCTTCACTCTTATGTGGCTGCAGCCGTTCATTTTTTTTTTTGCACGCCCCCTGCAACGTCGGAAAACCACACCTGTTGGATTCGCTCTTTCTGTCCGTCCGTCCGTCCGAAACAAATAACTCCAGAACCGCCGGACGTGTTTGCATGACATTCTATATACACTGGAGAGTCTTTCAAACATTTGTCGTCAGGATGCTCTGCACGGAAGGCAGGCATACTGACATATCTCCGTGTCTCTCGAGCGTAATAAGCTACATATTCATCTGAGCAAAACATGTCTCGGAAAACACTTGCAACGAAAAATGAAGCCCACCAATTACTTTGTTCACAAGTCTTGTGGCAATGAGGAAATTGAACAAAACGGATTTGTAACTTTATCCCTGTACCTTGGGTACAAAATATCCGTCTTCAGAAACCCTAATTATACTTCCCTTAGGGTGCGAGACCAAGTTCCACGCCCACACATTTTTGGACATGGGTTACATTCTTGTATTGCTGCGATGGGGTGAGACTAAGTCTCTGTGGAACTGGGCGTCTAACGCGTTCTTTAGCCACCTCCCAGGTGATACATGAGTGAATACAGAGCAGCGGTTAAACGATTAAGACAGGATATGACCGAAGGACCCTGGGAAAAAAACCTGCCTCAGTGCCACTCTGTCCAACACAAATCTAACATTGACTGACCTAGGTGCGAACCAGAGCCTCCGCCGTGAAACCGTGTGGTTTACTGTGACAGGGTACGGGTGTGTTCAGAAATCTGCATAAAGACTTTTTATTTTTATTTTGAAACCACCGATGCGGCGACAGTGGTAAAAGTAAAGTTCTTGAGTACCTGAAAAAAGAAATTAGGTCGGGTCTAGTTCCAGCTAAATTGAGGCATTTTCGAAGACCCAAAGACGTGTCGAGGTCTTGATTTCCAGATCTAATTACAAGAAATACAGCTCCGTGTAAAATATACTCAGTTTAAATCAAATAATATTTCTGTCAGCAAAGTGATCATCAGAATCAAAGGAGTTAGACCAAAAATGACTGTATTTATGAAACGCGAATGTTTATTTCAATAGTAAAATCAACAGGCTACTCATATGCGATTTTGCGTTCTTAAGGCAGTGAATACGTCGATGTTGGTTTCTGGGTTGTAACGCCATATGGACATCAATTGTTCGGAGTCGCACATGTTATAATAAGGCATTCTACATTATTACAAACGGTAAAATTAAGTACACAAAACAACTCGACAATGACACTTGAGCTGCTACCTCGTATCCAAAGTCTCGAAATGTAGTCCAAGCGATTAGAAACCTCAGGCCTACTGATAAAGTTTAAGATTAACTTATTCGTTACTCATTTACAAGGATAAGCACGAAGCAAAACAGCGAAAGTGGTGCAAGATTACGCTACCGTAAACAATTTATTATTGACCCTAAGCCTATTAGGTACATGCCGCTTGAAACTTACACGGAAAGTCAGAGTATGTATATAACAAGAGTGTCCCGAGAAGAAATGACCAACTTGGAAGTTTGGTCAAAGCTCAACCTCCGAGTACTTTAGAGTCTTCTCTGATTAAATATGTTTCAATGTGGAACGACGATGAAAAATTACACTGACACGTATAAACAACAACAGTTATGCTAATCAACTTCTAATTTGTTTAATATGCGTTTTAAAAAGAGAAAAAAAAGACTTTCATTTCGCCTAAAAATAAAGATTAATTTCACAGCGGTGTGAGCAAGCAATACATCCTTTGTAGGAAACAGGCTTTCTAATGACATCTAACGACAACAGTTACCTGCCGACCATGACTAAACAAACCATCAAATAAACAAATCGCGCATTCTACTTGCCTCACTGCCTGCCACATAAAAAAGCAGTTCAATCCATGCGGCCCACTGCCGTCCAACAATGCCTTGAGAATGACCTGTCATTAATTCTGTCAAGTCATAACAGTGGCCATGCTACGGACTGGATGCACGGTGTTCGATTCTCGGCGAGGCAGGAATTGCTTCTATTCGCTAAAATCGACAGACCGGCTCAGGGGCGCACTCGAACTCCTATCCAATGGGTACTACGACGCTTTCCTTGTGAGTAACGTGGCCGAGGTGTGAAGATAACACTCACCTCCATCTTGTGCCAAGATAAATAATTCGTGGAACTATACCACCACTTCACATGTCTGCGCGGTTTCGTCCTTAGTTCTGCACCAGGGAACAACTGGCCTTTTAATTTCAAAATAACCAAGAGCAAAATACACTCGCAATATTATTTTCATTGCCAGGAAGCAGTGAAACTCCCAACGGATATCAGCTTGGACCAACCAGCAGCTAAAATATGACACCAGCTGAAGTATAGAAAAGTGCTTTTATGGAATAATACCGGGTCTACAATTTGTGTCTTTCGGGGCGTGGCTTGCGTTGCGTGATCGGCCGGCGATCTGTTGACGTCGGCAGGACTGGTGCGTGTTCTTCCCGTGAGTCACAGGCGAATCAGTTTCAGTGTCGCTAGTAACAGCGAACTACGAATATTTCGCGTCACTAATACATGTTATTACATTAATTGTTCTTACCTTAAATCACAAAAGATGTTCAAAGTGACTTCCTTGTGCTTGCAGGCAAGCTTCACATCTCGTTAACATATTTCTAAATACTCGACGAAGCTCTTCTGGGATATTGCCAAAATGAATTGTCGTTTCCTGTTCTTCTTTTTATCCAAAACTGATCCTGTACTACGAATTTTTTTTACTAAGCTCTCTATCATGGGCCTGCTAGGAACACTTACACCGGGAAAATGTCTGCGAAATTTACGGCGAATATTTGGCATATGTTTCGACTAAGAACACACGTTGCTTAATACTATACACCATATTATCAACGTCAATCCGCGACGAGGGACGCAATGAAACTGATTCGCCTGTGACTCATGGGAAGAACACGGACTAGTCCCGCCCACGTCAACAGATCGCCAGCCGACCGCGCGGTGCGGGCGCGCCCCGAAAGACGTAAATTGTAGACCCGGTATTATTCCATAAAAGCACTTTTCTAAAATGAATTATAAAAGGCAACTATTCGAATTAGCATGGAGCAATCATAGCACTAGTATCAGATTAAATCAAGAGATGAAGTTATAATTTATTGACCGAGCATGTTTTGACCTTTAAAAGTTCATCATCACGAGTAACATTCACTTACTGAAACGCAAGCGACTCCGGTTTTAAACTATGCTCATTTTACAGAGAGACTTACTGAACATAAATATTTAATGTCAGATAACTAGACCAAATAACGGTACTGTCCTTAATATGGGCACCCCTGAGAAAATCTTCAGAATGTTTGTTTTGTCCGTAGAACGCATCACGGATCCTTTCAGGCAGATCGAGATCACAGCGTCAGCAGCTCTGTTCACTGACAGCAGCGCGTGTCCAGACTTGTTTGTGAACAGAATCACCGTGTACGAAGGCGCTTCTGATATGAGGGTAATTGAATTGTGTCCTTTTAGAACCACAAAATGTAAATGAGAAATGTGTTACTACACAACATAAGTGGTAACAGTGTTTGACGATGCATTTCCGTTTTGCTGGTTTTTATCTGAAAGGATTCTGTTAACAAAAATTGAAATGCGTACAAAGTACCAAATAGCTGGGAAAAATTGTGCAATGAATGGCGAAGGAATTGTTACAGAAAACGGAACCGAAGTAAAGTGGACAATGGTAAGAGAATTATCTTTGAGAAGCTGTTACTGTAGTTGAAAAAGTGTGTAAATTAAAAGAAGACCCATTCATTTCGAGTATAGGACATTTCGTTAAATATTTTTTCTTTGTGTATAAACAGTTTCTAGGAGTTATTAAAACACGTTTTTATAAGACTGTCATGTGAAGAAAGCTTATTCTTTTCGATTGTATGATATGCCCATAATTTGTTCATAGGGTCCCTAATATGGACACTTTCCAGCCATAGACTCTTTAGTTTCACCTATCTCCCCGACTTATTTTACCTAAAAATAATCATATCCCTTTGATCCCAATCCAACAGAGCCCTCAAAAGTACAGCACTCCATCTTAGGTAAAAAAAGAATACAAATTATTTAATGCTTAAGAAACCAATATCTGGCTCAGGAACCGAAAACTACTGCAACATTCATTATTCTAAAAAAAGATGTTTTACATACATGCATACTTTCTACAAAAACTGTATTTCATTCTTTTGAAACAACTGTCCTAAGAACACAAGTAATTAAAAATACTTGTATTACAACGGCACGCAGGCTAATGTAAAAATAACACGAAGGAAAATTTCCTTGAAATTAAGTCATGCCAGTAAGAAAAATTACCCACCCCTGAATACACTTCACTGTATTCATCAGAGTATCTATACGATGTGACTCCATTGAAATAGCTGTGTATAAAATAATGACCAGAACGAGCGATGAGTTTAATAATAAGCAGCTGAAATGGTAACTTTTACAACCGAATAGGAACACAATTCTTGCTTATCAGTCATTGTTTGTGTTATGCTGAGTTCTACAAATAAAATAAAGGGACACTGCATGTTCAGCAAAGATTCACAAGGTAAACTATTGGAATATGTAATTAATTTGACAGCAGCTCGCGTACTCGTGCCGGTAATTCAGATAATGAATATGAATTATTCTGAAGATAGCTCACATACTCGTATCAGACATTCTCGCAATGAGCTGATCTCAGAAGAAAACTCAGAAATGAAACCTTCCACTGATCTACTACCTACCTCCAAAGAACACCAGAAAACTTTCACAAAAAAATCACTGCCCACAACACCATCTATTTTCTGGGCCTCACAACTTATTTATTACAATAATCCATTTCCAACGCACAAACACATGGCACCCTAAAACAACACAGACAGGATTCGGTGACAGCTCGCGAGCGACTGGTCGTACCGTTACACCCGTCTCAGCACCACAGAACAACCTACTTGCTTTCTGGTACTTCGTTCAGCACAGCCTGTACTACCCAGTCTTCCAACCAGCAACACACTTCATACATTCTCCCCTCTCTCTCTCCTTTCACTCGCAAGGTTCAACTGAAAAGATAAACTCAGACCTCATTTCTATGTACAGCATGCCTTTGTGTACTGCGGTGTGGATGCTTTAAGGGAACACGTCAATGCACTTCACAAAACAACGTCAGCAGGTAAGACACTGATTTTTGGACCTCCGTCTCAAGTGATGGAAAGTTTACCTTCTGTCATTTTCATAGGTGTACGTTTCCGTTATTTCAATATACCATTAGGTAGTGCATCTACGTTTAACGGCGTGTATTCATGCGTGACAAGCCTATCATATCTGCATACATGTCACTGGCACACAGTGTAAAGAATTACATTTCCAGCGGCCAAAGTCTCTCTTGAGAAGTCGATCTTCGCTCAGCTGGCGAAGATAATCCCCGACAATTCCAAAGCCCTAATGATCTTGTCGCGTTCACAAGAAGCACTCATAAGAGCTTCTAATTCTACGGGAGGTCCCAGGTTCAAATCTCAGCCAGAAGATCGACTTCCAGAAGTTCTTCGTGGTTTTCCTCAGTTCTCGGAGGCAAATTCCAGGACGGTACCTACAGTTAGAAAATTCCGTGAGAGTCCCTTAAATTAGGCAGCGACCGCCTTCTTCCATATCCTTTCTATTTCATTGCTCACCAGCCTATCAACCAACGCTATGTAGTCTGAGTTACCGGCAGCGTCGTTAAATAAACCACAAACACTATTCCTCATCCTCCCTGAACGACCAGCCACTCTACAGCCAAGGACGTTTAGAGTTCCGTAAAATTGGACCCAATCATTTCCTATGTCACGTAAATAAGCCATTTTATTCTGTGTTATTGTATGTTGTATGTTCAGTTTTAGCCCTTTGATCAAAAACAGCCCTTCTGCTAGATGCGCATCAGCTGCTAATATCGTCTACAGGGACTTGGACATATTCGAGACGAAAATTGTCACACTTCTTCACATTCTATAATAGTATAATCTACTTAATTGATTTAAATAATTTTTACAAATATGCTAATATATTTACTTGCAATTTTCTTGTGTATTAACGTCCCCCGTACTAATGTATTTTATATTCTGCTTGTTTTACCTTTTATGTTTTTATTGTGTTCGTGTGCTCATCTCTAGCTCCTCCCACAGTCAAGTACAGGAAGTAAAATGCACACACCGAGTTCCCGTTATGATCAGCTGTCTTCCTGTTCCACCCCCAGTTTGCTTATTCGTGAGAGCTGTCCCGAATATCATACAATGGCGTGGATGGTTCAGCGGCCTCTGTGACGTGGTCGCTGTGACATGGCAAAAGTACGGGTGTTCCAGTGTCGGCACGTGTTTGCCTCTGTCTCCCGTAGTATTAACCAACCAACGGCTACATCCCTTCGGGAGATGGCTCAAGGTAGGCCCTTGAGTTTTATTTGTTGCTATATCAGACATGCTCGCATGGTAACTAAAAGGAAACAACCGGGAGAATCTAACAGCTTTAACAAACTTGTTTATCCAGCAGACATTCATTGTTTAACTTCGCCTTTCGGGGATGAGCTGGGTCGAATGCTGAGGAGAATCCGACGATTCGGCGAACATTGCAGTTACCGTTTTCAGGGTCCCGTAGAAATTTACCGACGTTTCGGAGGTACGTACTTTCTCCATCATTAAACAATCGCATCTTCATACTCACCGCTGTGAGAACATGAAATCTCACTTTGCATGAAAATCGTCCTGAAAGAAATACCACGTCGAGGTAAGGTCTGAATTCATCTGATTCAGGGCCGAATCCGTGTGGACATGATAGCGAGTCTTTGGGATTCACAAAAGTGTGGAATTTCTCGACTAGCTGAGTCTCTCAATTGGACTCTGCTCCATGGAAACAGTTCATGAAAGCCTCTCGATATACTGTGTAAAAGGAACAAATGACGATACAGCGTATCCTAGCAAAAACAAGCGCCACACAGCAGAATAAGCGGGGCTTCCCATAAATATTGTATTTCACTCATAGTTTCCGACATGTCAGCATAACATTCCAAGTTATTAACTTGTACGTCTTGCATTAGACCTGAAAGCCAACTTGAATTACACGCCGTCGTACGTAACATCAACGAATCGTATCAATTTGACTTGTGCACGCCTTTGGAAATGTTGTCACAGACTAGCGTTGCCCAACATATATAAATATTTACTGATGACCCATAAAATACGAGTAAACACCAAGCACAGTAGTTAAATAAAGAAAAATATCACAATAATGCACTACATATAACCATACAATAAAATGCCAATATGTAAGATTTGATGTTTTCACAGCGGTGAGCATGAAGATTTCTGTCTTCTGGGTTATTGCGCTGTGTAGTCTGGTCGATGTTTACCAACGTTTCAGAGGTCATACTGCCCTGATGACGGAGGCAGTATGACCTCTGAAACGTTGGTAAACGTCGACCAGACTACACAGCGCAACAACCCAGAAGACAGAAATCTTCAAAATGCCAATAAGTTGACTAGTTGGTTGGTTGATGGACTGCAACAGATTCAACTATAATCGTAATTTCCACCATCAACACATCAGACAAATCAAAACCAGAACTTAAAACGTGAATTGCATTAACTGACATTTGGTAGTGGCATTTTTTACACCACATGCAATCTTTATACCGCCATGATTCGGTTCCAAAGACTCTTAGATATAGCAACATTAAACACGAGACCTATGTGAATATTACCTCTTATACTACTCACAACACGCGACAGAAATATTATGAACTTTGTAACATATATCATGATACCGGTATTAATCGGACACTGTTCAGTGTTTCGTATATGTGTGATGAAGTTTCTATTTAACTCATGACAAAAAACGAAACATTCCTATTGTTCTCAAAACTACGCTGACTCATGGCAATAACAAGAAGTTAAAGCGTCGGTTATTCGCCCTTGTTTTACTTACAGTAAACTACAGATACATTAAAATAATGATCTTCCTTGGGCTGTTTATTGTGACAATAATATGAATATAGCCTATAATAAAGTTGAAAAGAAAGTAGACCCACATAAAGCGTCTCTTCTTCATGCCAAATTTTCCTAAAATAAACTGCCCCACTGATGTAAGTACGATACATGTGAACTCGCAGATCTCTTCTATCATTTATCGCCTCGGTGCACATAATAATCGATTTATACCATAAATGGTTTCCAAGATACAAAAAAAGTTGTAACCTTCCACAGACTTATGCATATATGAAACTCGGTAGAAAGGCATGCCAGTCACCCCAAAGCGTACACGGACACACTTGGATGATCTAGACGTAAATTAAGAGATAATATTAAAATGGATTCCAACGAAACAGGATGTGAGTGTGTGGACTGGATTCATCTAAGATTGGGCCCAGTGGCCGGCACTGTGTAAACGGTAATGAATCGCCGGGAACCAGATAAGCATTCCTCACCTTTTCAAAAGTGTGTGTACAGTGCTTTTCATAATTATTCTTACAAACTCACATGTTCACAACACCACGAATTAACTAATACGACAGATAAAGTAATGACGTGACAGAGATACTCAAGGTTAGTTAATTACTCTATTGCCTTATGACGTGAGGTCATGGCTAGAAAAAGGCAAATATTCGCTCTGGTTTTATAAATCTCATTCTGACACATTCATAAAGAGGAAGTTTCACATAGATTTACAAGTACTGTGAAGTTGGTTGGCATGCCGTAACCAAAGCACGGGAGGAACTCGGTTACGACTTCGATATTTGTTGAGCTCCCTTCACACGGGGTTCACTTTGAAAATTTTTAACTTTAATTTCAATAATTTTAAAACATCCCGTATATAAATATTTTTCATTATATCACCTTGAAGTATTACATTTTAGGCGTGAGCAGTGCTAGCGGAATTAGATATAGGATTCTGTAATCGACTGCACGTGCATCTACGATGCTTTTCGTACTAATTCTGTTAGACCAATTTCCTTTCATTTCAAGAACATTAAATCATGATTCGAAGCTATACAGTTTAAGCTACTGATAAAGCGTTGTTAAATAAAATATAAATAAATCAATGAATCACGATCCACTATAAGGTGTGAATTTGATAAGTTAGAAATACACAAACAATTATGAATACTGCATCAAATATGTTTACGTATTTATGAGTTGAAAAATACATCAAAGGCCCGTGTGTATTAGCGACATCGCCACAGCCTAACAGCGCTCTGATGCAGGCAACTACTGTCCTTTGCCGGCACAGACCATCAAGAGCGCTGCACGATGATGTTATATCTTGCAAAACTAATTATATCATGCAGAACCCTACATGGGATGTTAAAGTCTTTGGCTAGTTCGGGCATTTCCAGCCTTCTATGAAATCCGGCGTTTGATTATTGTGTTTACAAAAAACCCTAGCTGGCCATATCATGAGAAGGATTAACCCGGGTGAGACACTTCGCTTTAAAGTTAAGCCTCTCCTCCCATCCACGCCTAGGCCTCACATTAAACGAGTATCTCATCGGTCGCCGGTACACAGAAGCTAAACTTTGTAATCAAAAATAAAATATGTTGTCGACAGCCGAAAGCAGAGCCTTCAGATAATGATCGTGTGTTTTATTCACCTCACGGTCTCCTTCCAAGGCCCCTGATCAGAGAACCGCCTTCACTATGTTATCTGGCTCCATACAGCACTTGAGACCTTGGGCCAAGTTTGCAGCATTGAATTTATATCGACTATACAGTGTCAGCTACATGCAACACAATATATAAAGAAAATAGTTCAATTGGATTCAATTGAAGTCAAGTGGGATCATATACCCGCTCAACTTCGTAACGTGACGGCAGTTCTGACTTCTTCATATGCTCAGAAAGAACACTTTGTGAGAAACATCGTATTTACATACAATTGCTGCTTTCTGAATAGCTAATGATTATAACAACATAGTTGCTAATAAGGCAAGCAGAGATTAGAATGCCCTGTGAGAATCTTGGTACTGAAACAAGTTTGGTGCCAAGGTCAGACATATATACCGAGCCCTTGTTTGCAAAAGAAAATGACGTCATTTATAT